TTCTCATTCTCAAGCTCTTGTTCTCCTCACTTCCACACTCCACAATCCTTAAGCTTCATTTGTTCCTTACTTAATCTTTATCATAAGGATTGTTGTTAGAGCCATTCTTGTTCTATTATAATTGTGTGGTGAGGTTGATCTTGAGACGATCAAGTGTGTGGGTTGTGAGATCTCAAGAGGAGATCGTTGTGAAGAAGTTTCGGTTTCCAAACCGGGTTGTGATAGTGAAGTTCTCCTCGAGAGTGGGGAGCGGGGACATAGATCGGAGGACCAAACCTCATGAACATATCGAATGTCACAATTGGCTAACTATTTCCTAACTCATGTCCTTTATATTGTTTTAGTATTTTTTGTGGTGTATTAGATTGTATTTAGTTTAATTACAATTTATTTCCACATACCCCTATTCACCCCCCTCTAGGATCCAACATATACTTCATCAATAAAGAGCTACAGTTTGACATAAAAAGCCAAATAATAAATAAAATACAGTCGTCACACATTAGGTTTAAGTTTTGAACATGTTAGCAAGCAAGTATTTTTATTGATAAAACCACCAATATCAAACATATGTACATGATAGTTGGTGCATACCTTGGTGTGAAAAGCTCTAAAAATGGCAAAAGCATCAACCCTTCATTCAAGAAATTGAAATTAAATAGAACTCTAACTAAATCACCATATATCAATGTCTCACAAAGATATACTATATGTACAATCAGAATACAACTCTATTGACCCTCTCAAATGTTCTACCTACATATAATCCTCGATCATCGCATTCTATAAAACAAACCTTCTCTTAGACATTTCATCAAACACCTCCATTGCCTCCTCAAACACCCACAACACTGCTAATCATTGTGGTCCAAATAACTATATCCCTCTTGTCATTCCATCAAACTTCTTTCGTGCATCAATCTTGTCACCAAAACTTAGATACATATAAGCAAAATTGTTATGCACAAATGATAATAAGATTTTCTTAACTGAATGCAAAAATCAATCGCCAAGAACCACCACCTAGCCACAAGATGGACCAAGAAGTAACCAGAAACCAGTGGATCAAATAGGGATCAAGAAGAGGGGTGAATGGAGGACGAATTTTCAAAGACAAAGTAGCGAGTCGGTAGTGACCATCGCAGTAGCGGTCCCGGCAGAGAGTGAACATGGACTCGTTTAGTTGAATGACGGAGTAAGGAGACTGCTTACAAGTGGCCATGGAGCTGATTGTTTTGAGATTAGAGAAGGGTATTTTTGGGAAACTATATTTTTTAAGGGGATATTGTATACATAAACATTAAAACACGGTACTTGGGTTTAAAAATAAGTGGATGGAGATCCTTGGGTGTATGAGTGATTTTAAAAGTAGATGGGCTTAAAAATAAGTCAAAGTAAAACTTTGGATTAAAAAGCAAAATCCCCATATCTTTTTTATTGCAAGCAACGTCTTCCAAAACGCAAGATATATTGCTTTTAAAAGTTTTTCATGAATCCTTATCAATGAACCTCAGTACAACATCAAAGTGTATTTCCCACTCATCATGATGGATTAATACTCTGAAGTTGAGGCCGAAATACTTTCAACAATGATACCAAAAGTATCACTCCAAAACAAATATTACCTAGCAATCTCAAATCGAGCACCACTTTTCCAAAAAAAAAAAAGCCCAAGCACCACTGCACCATTCATGTTCATCAGTCAGACATTGCAGCCATCTCTTTATTTCTAGCCTCTACGATTATCACAAAATATAAATACAGCCCCAGAGCACTTAAGTCCAGTTGAGAGAATAACCAGTCTTTAAACTCTAAATAGGTGTAAATATTTCCCATGGTGCATATTATATGACAGTTTATCAACAAATCTATATATCAAGACCTTTCACTTTAATTCTTTACTTCACACCAGGACCAAAAAGAACTTCTGAATCCAACAATGGAAATTATCTAAGTAACAAAGAATTGTCATGATTGGCTCCTTCAGAGCTATGGAGATTTGAGGGTAATAGCAAGCATCACAGCGAAGCAAAATCTGGATGGAATGTGTTGACATTTGTAATATATGTAGGGCGTTATGTGTAAGTTGTATAGGGCCTATATAAGCCCAAGAGATCTCATAATAGGATGAGGGTTTTCATTATCTTCTTGGTATCAGAGCCGGCTGCCCCCCCTCTCCTCATCTTCCTTCTCCTACGCCGCAACCCCCTCTCCCCCACTTCGCTGGCCGCCCCCTCTTCCCTCCCTTTCCCTCGCGAGACTTACCCACAGACCCCCCACTTCGCCGACCCACAGAACCCCTCCCTGACCAACGAAACCCCCCTGACCCCGATTCCGCCTGACATTGTAATATATGTAGGGTCGCGTTATGTGTAAGTGATATAGGCCTATATAAGGCCAGAGATCTCATAATAGCGAGGAGGTTTTCATTATCTTCTGGTATCAAGAGCCGGCTGCTCCCCCTCCCTCATCTCCCTCCTAGCCGCCGTCACCCCCTCTCCCCCACTTCGTGTCCGCCCCTTTCCCTACCCGTCTCGGAGACGAACCCCACAGACCCCCCACTTCGCCGACACCCCACAGAACCCTCCCTGACCAGCGAACCCCCCCTGACCCCGCATTCCCCGACCCCGATTCCCCCCTGACCCCCGATCCCCCCTGACCCCGATTCCCCCCCTGACCCCGATTCCCCCCTGACTCCGACCCCCCTGACTCCGAATCCCCCTGAACCCCGATCTCACCCTGGACCCCCGCATTCCTGCCCTTGACTCCCACCCTCTGACCGCGAACCCCTCTCCTGTTTCCCATTCCACCTGCTAGACACCAGACCCACCCCTCTGTTTTCCGATCCAACCCCCCCCCCCACAACCCCTCAGACCTGAATCCGAACCACCCCAACCTTTTCCGCCGGCTTGCTGCGCTATGTCTGACGACTAGAGTTGCTCAAGGTCCTGACTCACGTCCTCGTAACTTGATGATAGAAGAAGAGTTTAATCTCACATCGATGAGATTATATAACTGGTTGGTCTTGTTTCCTCTAGAGAAACGAGAATTTGTTTGAGACTCCTACTCTTGTTGTGCTGCAGAGGTGCTGCCGAAATTTCACTGCGCAAACAAGGGTTTGAGGGAAAAACAGTGTTGGATCTGGAAGCTTGCACGATGGAGAGATCATCAAGAAGTGTGAACCTGCCGGAGGTTCCAACTTTGTCTAAAGTTATGAAGTTGTCGCCGCTGATTGAAGCGCGACAAGACCAATCGAAGAAGTTGGAGCTTTCCGACCATCGATTGAATCTGATGGCACCAGTACTTACCTGCATAGGTCGACGACGGGTGCAGAATACACCCTTGCAGGAGAGGAACCTAGAGCGGTTACTGGACTGTGAGAAAAGACAACCGGTATGGGACTCGGGAGGACGAGATGAGTGGAAGTCCACTCATATGTTGGTGTACATCTGGCTTCTCAACTCGTTGGTCCCAACGATCGCCGCCACGGTAGATGGCATTGAGAAGGTGAAGGACGTCTGGGAGAAGTTGAGGAGGACATATGATGGAGTGGGGAATAACCTGAGGGTGTTCCAGATTAAAGGAGAGATTGACGCCACAATCCAGGGAGAGAGGACTGTATAAGAATATGCTACAGAGCTGGAGCGTCTGTGGCTGGATTATGATCATTTTTCCCCCCGGGCGAGCTGCAAGGACCCAGGATGTAAAGAGCGGGAGGCCTTTCTACAGGAGAGGACTATGGTGTTTCTTAAGGGATTGACATCAGAGTTCGCTCAGCGAATTGCATTACTGCTAGCTCAGCCGAAAATTCCCTCGCTTGAGGAGGCTGTCTCGGCTATGATCCAGGAGGAGACTCACATTAAGCTGCAGGCAGGGACAGGTGGACTTCCTGTGGTGAAGTCAGCTTTAGCAGTATCTAACAATAATGGATCCAGGGGAGAGACTCGGCAGTGCTACAACTGCGGTGAAGTGGGTCATCTAAGACATGCTTGCACCAAACCACCCAAGGAAGGAGATTCGGGTGGACGTGGACAGTTCGGAGGGTGTGGTCGTGGCCGTGGGGGTCGACGAGGTGGAAGGGGAGCAGGCAACCGGGCGAATCTGATGATAGCAGAAGGAGGAGAAGAAGCTGAGGTGATCTTTACTGAGGAAGATCAGGCGCTCCTGGCGATACTCAGGAGGAAGCAGCAAGTAGCAGGGGATGGAGACTTGAGGAGTGGGACTGAGGAGGCATCCACTTCGTTCTTCGCCAGAGGCAACACTGCTACCTATGCTCATCCGACCAAAGGTACTGATGACATACATGCTCTTGCTTCCATATCTTCCGACAAATCATCAGAATGGATAGTCGACTCCGGTGCGTCTCGACATGTGACAGGTAATGCTAGTGAGTTCTCATCATATACTCACCTAGCATCACCTGATAGTATTCAAACAGCTGATGGTACATTTTAGCCAGTAGTTGGTAAGGGTACAGTCGATTGTACAGGTTCTGTAACTCTGTCTAATGTTTTGCATGCTCCTTCCTTTCCAGTCAACCTTTTATCCATTAGTGCTATCATTATTCAACTAAAATACATTGTTTCTTTTGATATTCCCAAGGTGATCTTCCAGGAGAAGGGGACAGGGCGGAGACTTGGGACTGGCACATGGCGTAGTGGACTGTGGTATCTGGATCGTGAAGGACTGGATTCAGCATTGGTGTTAATGATAGAGAGAGTAGAAGTAGGATCTGAGATGAGTGCTGAGAGTGTGTTGATGCTTCATCACCAGCGTTTGGGACACTCATCTTTTAATGTTTTAAGTAGGTTGTATCCATCTCTATTTGAGAAAGCAAATAAGCAGCACCTTGTATGTGATGCATGTGAACTTGGAAAACTTACTAGAAGTTCTTACGTAAGTTCTGGTCATAGGAGTTCTCGTGTATTCGAACTGATACATTCAGATGTTTGGTGACCTTGTTCTACAAGTTCTATGAATGGATATAAGTATTTTGTTACTTTTATTGATTGTTTCTCCCGCGTTACTTGGTTGTACCTGATGAAAAATAAGAGTGAAGTGTTTGGTTGCTTTCAAAATTTTCATAGGTATGCTCAGACTCAATACGGTGCTGTGGTGAAGGTATTAAGATCTGATAATGGGACGGAGTATACTAACAAAACGTTTGGGGAATACTTGTCAGCTCAGGGAATACAACACCAGACTACGTGTCCATACACACCTGCTCAAAATGGAGTAGCGGAAAGAAAGAATAGACATCTTTTAGAGGTTGCTAGAAGTATGATGATCTCTATGAATGTCCCAGAAACATTATGGGGACAAGCAGTGTTGACCGCGGCAGCACTAATCAACAGAATGCCCTCGAGAGTGCTGGATTGGAAGTCTCCGTGTGAGTTATTGAAGGGAGATAATGGTGGGCTTCTTCCACTCAAGGTGTTTGGCTGTGTGTGCTTTGTGAAAGACAATAGGCCATCAGTCGGGAAGCTTGCCCCAAGAGCGGTGAAATGCATTTTTGTGGGATATTCTGCTACTTAGAAGGGCTATGTTTGCTGGAGCCCGGTGGAGAAAAGGTTGTTTGTGAGTATGGATGTGCACTTTCGAGAACTCGAGCCATATTACACCCGGAAGGTAACTTCATCTGTTGATAACTCGCCTAATACTGGAAGTATGCGGCGAGAGGAGGAGAATGGTGAGAGATTGGTGAATGGTGAGAAATCAATGTCTGAGAATGGTGAGAGATCGAAAAAATCAATTTCTGTAACGATTCCTTGGGACGGAGACTTGGTTGAGGAGGAGCAAGAGAATGAAGATGAAGAGGAGATTGAGACAAGAGGTGTTAGGCCAACGGCTCAGGGAGAACTACTTACCTATAGTAGGAAGGGGAAACAAATTGCGGGAACAGTACCAACAGTACCTACAGTGCCACTAGTGCCAAGTCCCTTGCCAACGCCTGCCCCGACTCCTGAGACACCTACACCACCACAAGATTCCTCTCAAGGTGACTCCATTTCTCTTCCTATTCCTCCCACACCAATAACTGTACGGAGGACTACTCGCAGTAATGCGGGAAATCCTCCCGATAGATATGGTTGGGATCTTGCTCAGTTTGTATCATATTCTAACATCCACCCTACACATGGAGCATTCATTGCATCACTGGACTCTGTTACTATACCTAACAATTGGCAGGTTGCAAAGAAGGACCAGAAATGGAAAGCTGCTATGCACGAAGAGCTAAGGGCCCTTGAGAAGAACCGCACTTGGGAGTTAGTAAAACTACCAAAAGGAAAGAGAGCAGTTGGATGCAAGTGGGTCTTCACTGTGAAGCAGAATCCAGATGGACAGGTTGAGCGCTACAAAGCTCGTCTGGTGGCAAAAGGATATAGTCAGACATACGGCATCGACTATGATGAGACTTTTGCACCAGTAGCGAAGATGAGCACTGTTCGAACCTTGATCTCTCTGGCAGTAAATGGTGGATGGAAGCTACACCAATTAGATGTGAAGAATGTATTTCTTCATGGAGATCTGGTGGAAGAGGTATACATGGAAATTACGCCAGGATTCAACACAGAACAGACAGTGGGCAAGGTCTGCAGATTGAAGAAGTCTCTATATGGCCTGAAACAATCTCCTCGTGCTTGGTTCGACAGATTTAGGCGGGCTATGATAGGTATGGGGTACCGACAGATTAACGCTGATCATACCGTGTTCTTTCGACGAAATGAAGGTCACATTACTGTGCTTGCGGTATACGTGGATGATATGATCATTACAGGGGATGATGAGGAGGAGATTGCCAAACTCAAAGTGAGACTGGGTAAGGAGTTCGAGGTGAAAGATCTTGGCTTGCTTCGATACTTTCTTGGAATAGAAATAGCTCGCGGAGCGGAGGGGATTGTCTTATCCCAGAGAAAGTATGCACTGGATCTTCTTAAAGAGACAGGGATGTTAGGGTGTAAACCTGCAACTACACCGATCGACCAGAAGTTCAAGCTGGGTGCTGAGGCTGGAGAACCAGTTGATCGTGACAGATACCAAAGACTGGTAGGGAGGTTGATCTATCTGAGTCACACACGTCCCGATATCTCCTTTGCAGTGAGCGTGGTGAGCCGCTACATGCATGATCCAAGGAAGGGTCATATGGATGCTGTGTACCAGATTCTGAGATATCTGAAGAGTGCCCCTGGAAAGGGACTGATATTCAGGAAAAATGGACATGTGAGCATCGAGGGTTATTGCGACTCTGATTGGGCTAGTTGTGCTAATGACAGGAGGTCCACCTCGGGATACTGCATCTTTATAGGAGGCAACTTAGTCTCGTGGAAGAGCAAGAAGCAATCAGTGGTGGCGAGATCAACAGCTGAGGCAGAGTATAGAGCTATAGCCTTAGGAGTTGCTGAATTGTTATGGTTGAAGAGTATGCTGGTTGAGCTGAAGCTGGATCAAGGAGCTAAGATAAAGTTATGGTGTGACAACAAGTCAGCTATCAGTATCGCCAATAACCCAGTGCAGCATGATAGAACCAAACACATCGAGATCGATAGGTTCTTCATCAAAGAGAAGTTGGATAGCGGACTACTGGAGTTAAGTCATGTTTCGACTAAGGACCAGGCAGCAGATTGTCTGACTAAAGGACTTAGCTCATTAGACATGATTAGAGGATGTGACAAGATGGGCTTAGTGGATATCTTTCGCCCATCTTGAGGAGGAGTGTTGACATTTGTAATATATGTAGGGGGTTATGTGTAAGTTGTATAGGGCCTATATAAGCCCAAGAGATCTCATAATAGGATGAGGGTTTTCATTATCTTCTAAATGAATGAAAGGGAGAAAAAAAATTGATTTACCTTAAAGGAGGCGGCGCCGACAGGAGTGGATCAAGGCAGCGGCAGTCCGAGAGCAAATCAGCAGCTGCAGGCGGGCCGAGAGCAAATCAGCAGCAGTGGTTGTGAGGATCAGCGAGATGTCAGACCTGGAGTAGCGGTGGCGGGTTGTCGGTGAGAGAGAATGACGTCGTGAATCTCGTGATTATGGTCTGGGAGAAACTGGGTAGTGACGGAGGGCCAGAGAGAACAGGGGTTAGGGTTGGGGTTCGGGCAATATAGCCCTTTGTTTTAAGTGGGCCCACCATTGGCGATGGGTAGCCCGTTGCTAGTGCCTAATGGGGAAGGCAATCATTGGCAATGGGGACTTGACTCGCCGCCAATGTTTCAGTGGTCACAGGCCTATTGCGACGCGCTAAGACACGTCGCCAATCAGCAACATTGGCGACGGGTCGCTAGCTCATCACCAATACCCTGTTGCCAATGCTACTTCTTCTACTAGTGCTAGATACTTTTGATATTACTAGTATACTGTAATTATTTATCTGAATCGAGATCACAATTGATACAGTCAAAGTGAAAATTAAATAAATCCGTTAATAGTCTCATAATGGATATTTACTCAAAAGAAAGGGATGACTTTAAGTTTCAATATATCAATAAAAATTGCTTCAAGTTGACTCAACTTGATGCTAATTCTCAAAATTCTGTTGAATTATAGATGAACACACTTGCATTAACATGTGTTTGGACAAATTCGATCCTTGAAAGTGTCAGGTAGTCGCCCATGTTTCTTTGACAAATGAATCCACTAACCCACAAATGTTGAAAAGAAGGAAAAGAAAACAAAAATGGCGCGTCCCACAGCATAGTGAAATATTAATATTTTATTATGTATAGTGTTTTTCCAAAAACTATAAATAGGTTCTAAATCCTTCAGAAAAACTCATCCCAGAAACAACTCCTCATATAGAAGAGTGAGAGAAAAAAAATAGAGAGAGTATCTCCTTATAAAGAGAGATTGTAACTTCAGAGTTTTCTCCTCATAGTGAATTCTTCTATCCTTACCCGTGAACGTAGGCAATCAAGTACCGAACCACGTAAATCTATGTGTCTATCATTTTATCTCTACTTTTGCTCTACTATTGTTGTGACCCTATTGTATTGGGCACTGGGTTTGTCCCAACAAGTGGTATCAGAGCTAACTTAGGGTGCTTGTATATATCTACTTATCGTATGCTTTGTGGCTGCCACCAAAGGTGGATCCTCTACATCAGAAAATAAGTTAGGTTATTATTTACCTTTTGAAGGTGACGGGTACTATTCACGAGTATGGTACTGTTCATAAATATGGCACTATTCACAAGTATGGTACTATTCATAGATGCGGTTACTATTCATAAATACAGTTACTGTTTACGTAAGATAGTAAGAAGTTACTGTTCATGGTAGAAGTAATGACGGCAAAGTTCAAGATTGGGAAATTCGACGTGAGTAATTTCTCACTGTGAAAGTTAAAGATAAAGGCTATCTTGAGAAAAGATAATTGTCTGTCTTTATCGGTGCAAGGCCGGACGACATCACAAATAATAAGAAGTGGAACGAGATGGACGAAAATACTATTGCAAATCTCCATCTGGCATTAGCATACGGGGTGCTGTCATGCATAGAGGAGAAGAAGATAGCAAATGAGATCTGGGATACTATAACAAAGCTATATGAGGCGAAATTCATGCACAATAAAATCTTCTTAAAAAGAAGACTTTACACTCTTAGGATGGTGGATTCTACATCGATGACCGACCACATAAACACCCTAAACACATTGTTCTTCCAACTCACGACGTTGGGGTATACAGTTGGTGCGAATGAACGTGCATAATTTCTACTTCAGAGTCTACCTGACTCATATGATCAACTCATTATCAACCTGACAAACAACATTCTCACAGACAATCTAGTCTTCGACAATGTTGCAGCCGCTGTTCTGGAGGAAGAAAATCAGCGCAAGAACAAGGAAGACAGGCAGACAAGTTCACAACAAGTGGATGCCTTACCGGTGACGAGAGGAAGATCAACAGAACGTGGATCCAGTGGGAGTCATACCCATGGTAGATCTAAATCAAAAAGTAAGAAGAATATCAAATGCTATAACTGTAGTAAAAGAGGGCACGCCAAATCAGAGTGTTGGCACAATAAGAAGAGTGGAGA